TCAGACACTTGGAAAATAAGGCATGCTGAAGCTATGAAGATTCAGCATCCTGTAAATTTTACTGCACTTCCAACAGGCCTGTGAAAACAGTATACAAAATGAATGGTAATTAAATATGCATAATTTGTAAAAGCTGCAGAATATGATTCTGTGCAACATCAAATATAGATTATCTTTCAGGAATACTGGATATGGGAAGAATTTACATTATGCATAAATCAATCACAAACAATTCTTTCTAGCTACATTTATTATTACATGTATTAAGATAACCAAATATGCTCTTAAGTTTAAATGGTGCCAGACCTTAAGGAATGCTTCCCTAAGGAAGATCTGATTGCAACACTCTTGGTCTTTAGATGGCAAATTAAAACTTCTCTTGGGTACATCACTTGTGGCTAGCTGATTTAACTGCTACTGTCCTTGAATGTGAGCTATAGTTTTTTATTTATCTGTTCATTTAAGTTAATAATATTTTGTTTTTAACACAATGTAGCTGGATCTAACTTCCTAAACCAATTGCACTCATTGGACTGCAACTCCCATGAGTCCCTGAAAGCATAACCAAATTTCATGCCAACTGGAAACAGCTGAATTCCAATGGATCTGGAGGATAACAGGACTCATCCAGAATCAAAATACACTATTTACAGTAACTGGACATGCTAGCAATTTCATAAAAAAAAGGAAAGCTACTGTTAATTTGATCATAAAATGCACACATTTTTTCTGAGCGATCTATTTTGTTGAAGAGGCTGTCTGTCGTTGCTGTTTTACATTAGCAGACAAAACTGCAGACATCTGGATGTTCCATTTAATTATAATAGTACTGAAACAATTTAAGCCCTAAAAAGCTTCAGGCGCATTGTCTATATTTAGTTATTTAAGAGGCGAAAGATTATTAGTACAGATCTTTCTGGATCAGATAGCATATCTGTAAGAAAGTTTTATGCAACAATAATAAGAGGGAAGGGTCTAATGTTCTTTCTCTACTCAAATTTACTGAGAGCTGAATTAGATAGTACTGAGAGTCAATAAAGGAGCCTATCTTCTACTGCTGTGCATATAACAGGAGACCCAGATAAACCAGAAGATATTTTTCTGACCAGCCCAGAATCTAATCCTTCTTCCTTTGATTTTAACTTCATACAAATAATTCTAAACTTTCCATGCATTTCATAAACTATATAGTTTGCACTAGCTGGCTGTAGAAAATATACTCTCCTAATCCAGATTTTTCCTTGAAGAGTTTTGATCTACTAAATAGTTCCACAGCATGGCAACACATAGAACAGTGTGGGCTGCCTGACTATATGAAGCTCCCAAGTGTGATCTGCAGCTTCTGGAGTCCAGTGTAACCACACTTAATGAATACTGGTGCAGTTTCTTGCTATTTGAAACAGCAAACACACAAAAGCAGTAATATATGCTCTAAGCCAGGGCTAACATATTTATTAAAATAACAAGTTCTTAAAACTAACCCCAAACAAGCCCAGGAAAATAAACAAACCTGAATGTACATGTGCATGACATTGCCTCTGCCCAGTGTATAATCATTTCTCCTATTTTGGTCATTAACTGTACCCCTTGGCATGTAATGTAGCTAATAGCAACCCGAAAGTTGTCTATTTCTCATACAGAGGTTTTGAAGAGCTCACATTTTGCAAACTTCACGTAACAGCTTTCAAAGAATGTTATGTCCAAAATTTGATTACATGGGAGATGTTATTAGAATATGAATACTGTATCAGTTACAATAACCCAAATCAATTTAAATGAAAATGCCTACTTTCTGTTTCTGTATCTTAATTTAAAAATTCAATGACTGAACACTATAATCGCAATGGAAAATTGTGACATACTTTTTCTTAAATAAGGAAAATAGCAGAGCTGCTATTTATCCATGTTCTACAGTTCTATACATAAAATATTTGTAAATTACTTTTCTATTAAAACATTTGAATTTCTAAAAAATTCAGTTTTTAGAAATATGTATGTTTTCAGGCTAGTACAGTTAGAACACTGCAAATATTCAATCAGTGTATTTGAAAGAACAATGTTTAGCTGGACATTGACAGCTTCCAGCAATACGTCCCTATTATTCTTTATTTACGTGTTATTCCTGAAAGAGTATTGATTTTCTAAAAAGCATATTCTCAAATTCAGAACTGAGCATAAATATATACTTTTGAAATATATAACTAAACATATAACTGAACTGTACAGTTTATTTCTTGTTATCTTGCTTTGGCAAAAGCTACCTTGCTTGGAGGTTAATAAGGGAAATGTGAATCAGGGTTTTGATGTTTAGAAAGTCTTAGAATATGAAATTCAACTCAGTTTATGGCAGTGAATAAGTGTTGAGTAGGGAAAAAGCAAAATATTGTGTACATTCCAATTCCATAGTAATAAATAGTACAATTTTCTTAAAAGCAATGACTAAGGATAGCAAGTGATACACTGGGTTTGTGACCTACTATATAGCTGCTCTTTGAACAAGGGTTTGCTTCAGTCTCGGCACCAATAGGTAAAATAAGTAAGTTAGAAAGGTTATTCCTGGACAAGTAGCCAGATATCTGGACTCCACCCACAGTTCTGGGAAGAATTTTGAGATGACATACTGAAGCAAACACTGAATCAACACGTTAGGAACAGCAAGCATAGGCAAGGCTGTTACCTGCACTGTATTAAGAGATGTGATTTAGTGCTGTAGTTTTCAACGCATTCACTTACAGTTCTGATCATTTTCTCACTTGAGGAGTGATGGGCTCTTCTATCATACACTAGCACCTAGAAGATGTGATTGATCTTTCTAGAGTATATAGATTACCTGTTCCATTTCATGCAAATTGCTTATTGTTATTCTATATCTTTCTCTTTTTATTTCCAGATACCTAGTTTTAAGGATATCAGTTCAATAACTGTACAGAAAAATATCAGCTGCATCAATATTGAAGACACATTATTTATTAATCTAGAATGCTTCCAGATGAACAGCTCTTGGTGCTAATAGTCAGAGGACACTGATCTGTTTCATGCAACATAGTAAGCCACAATATGATTTATTTTGTTTGGGCTCAATGTGTTGTGTGAAGTCAGCCATGGTGATCTGTAAACTATAGGTTATGACTTAAAATATTGCGAAAACATTAGCAGTGAGTATGCAGACAGCTGTGTTTATTCAATATAACAAAACTATGGTTTGGCACGAGTGAATTCTGTCATAGCCTAGCTATTCTGCCTTGTTCTCCTTAAGTGACTTTTTCTAGTCAGAAGGAAGACAGGTATACTGATGGAAAATGCAAGGTTAAAAGTAAAAAATGATTTCTGAACCTCTGCAAAATTCCATAATTGAAGAGAACAATTATACAATGAAAGCTTCATCTGGAAGCATCCTGATAAAAACAAAAAGCCAAATTTGCATGCATAAACAACAGCATGCGTGCCACAGGTTTCTCAAAATACAGATAAAAGAATAAATCAAAAAGAAAAGATGGGGGAGAGAAGAAGGTTTAAAATAGTCTTTTGAGATCTGGTCATCATCCTGTGAATATGCTCTTGGCTACAAGATCCTGTCTTCTGCTTCCAGCACAAAACTTACGCAGAACTCTCTGCCTTCCATCTAGATATGCTATACACATTCTGTTTGTTGTTGTTAATATTTCCATCTGAGGGCTACTTTCTTTCTTTCTTTCCTTCCTTCCTTTCTGCCTGCCTGCCCAATTTGCAGTCCAGTTCTGCATCTTCCTTTAGGGGTGGGAGGAATACTTCCGTCTGTCTTTCCTGAATTAAGTAGCCTTCATTTGCGTTTTAACAGAGCCAGCTGTCTATAAACAGGAACCTCTCATGCCTGCCTAGAAGCAACAGCAAAAAGTGTTAGCAAGAGTGTTCAATATATATAGTTAACAGAAAAACTGACCTAAACAACCTGAAATAAAAGAGAAAATGCGAATGTTTATATATACTTGCTATCTTAGGGCAAAGTAATTAACACAAAGTATAGCCAAAAGGCCATTAACAGTTTTAAGTGAAGAAATATAATCAAAGGAAACGGGCATCGTACTTCGGGAGCACATGAAAAATAAATCGCATGCAGGCTGCCCTCCCGTGAACCAACCCAGGCGCAGACAGAGCCGGACAAAGCATCCCGGAGAGGACGGTTTGCGCTGAGAAGCTTGAGAGCGGCTCCATGTGGAAAAGCTATTCCAGCCGCTCCCAAGGGAACTCGAAGGACCGGGAAGCCTAAAAACCCAAAAACGGGGCCGCTGTGCTAGCACTGCTACGTCAACCAGGCAGGTAATTCGCGGAGCCCACAAATTAGATGCGAAGGCAAGACTGCTTCAGCCAAGGGCCTGCAGGGATTCGGTGGCAACTTAGGCTGCTCCCTCCTCCTCTGCCCTCGCTACAGCTGCCAGGCGGACCCTCCCTGCTTCTCCGCACCCCATATTCTTCTCCGCTCTCTGAGCCTGATTTCCCCAAATAGGGGTCTGAGGCAACCCGACCCCGTGTCCTGCTTGGCAGTCACGCCGAAGCCCGGCTCGCCCCGAGAGCAAAAGCGCTCGGCCCGGCTTCCCCGGTGGCTCCCGCCTCGCCCAACCCCGGCTTCCAGCAATCGCTACCCCACACTCACCACTCTCAATCTCGCCGCCCTTCTTGGCCGTGGCCGCGTTGCCCATGGCCAGGCGGGGCCGGGCTTGGGCTGGGCCCACGGGGAGGGGGCGTTCTCCCCGCACAGTCGGTCCAGGCTGCAGGAGGCTCCGGCTGGGCCCAGCCAGGCCCAATCCCCCCCCTCCCCAGCAGACCCGGTGTTGCCTCCGCCCCCTCTCCCCTGGCAGCAGTAGCTGCGCAGGTACCGCCCCGACCTCGCATACTATTGGCTGCCCAGGTTGCTCGCTCTCGCTCACTGGTCTCATCAGCATGGCCCGAGCTGTTATTGGCCCTTAGATCGTGACGATTTCCTCATATACGCCCGCCTCCTTCCTGCGCAAACGTGCCGGGATGAAGCCCTACGTTTCTACGATTGGCTAAGTGACCCGCCCATTCTCTGGAGATCCGCTTGTTGGCTGGGCCGAGAGATGAGACTCTCAGCTGAGTGTTCAGGCTGTCGAGCTTGTCAGTGTTCCAAAGTGTGAAGGGTGGAGCTCGGGGTGGGGAGGAATGTGTTTTACGAAGGCGCGAGCAGGGACGGAGCGTCCGCGTTCTGAATTCAGGACGCGTTCGAGAAGGACTGTTGAGCAGAAATAAATACATGCATTCCATTGTACTGCAGAGAAAAGGATTCGTTCTTGCTTTAAATCATTCTCGTGTCCTCAGTTGACCCGTATGGTCATTTTCTAAATGGTGGTCAAAGCATTCGGTGTTCGGAGTAGAATTGATGTTCGGCTGAGCATGTGCTTTAAACTCGCGTTGTACCTATTAACGCGTAGCATGCTTTGTTCGTGCAATGAGGAGACAAGGGACTTCCGGAACAGCCGTTGAAAGCATATCAGATGTTCATATGTGCTCGTTTATTCATCCTACCTTGTGCTTGCATTTCCCCTAAAAGCCTTGAAAAACCATGTAGTCGGTCTCCTTCGGCATAGCTGAAGAGCTATGTAGATTGTGTGAACCAAGGAGTTAGTGAATTCAGACGTTTCTTCAGGATGACAGCATTTTTTAAAGACTTGGTAAAGTGGGGGATGGGGGAACAGGATTCAGTATTTATATAAGGAGGCCTTCTTATATATGTAATACTGTACAGTACTGGATTGTTGTGTTTTGCAGCATGCCACTAGTTTTTGTTAGCATCTTATTTACAGATGTAAAGATTATGGAGAGTTCTGGCCTTCACATTTTCACTGATCTATGTTTGATCATGGTTAATTCTTTAAGAGACAACTGTATATTATTGTCATATATTATCATTATTATAAAATAAATGAAACAGTCAAAAGTCTGTCTTGTGACACCTTAAACACTAGTATATTTAATATTAATTATAATAATTGGATTATTCTCATATTAACATTCAAACTCATCCAGTGAAGCTAAATGCAGAAAGACTGGAGTAATAAAAGGAAGTATGTGTTTAAACAATGAGTAAAGTATAAAACTTACTTCCATATGTAATTTAGATGGCTTTCAAAGGGAACTAGACAATTTCATGGAGGAGAGAACTGTTGAAAGGCTGTTGGTCTTCATAGCTACCTAAATCACATAGCATGTACTTTAAGTCCCATTTGTCAGTGAAATAGGACTGTTACTTCTTGTGGACTCATTAGCTGTGGTGGAAATGAGCACAAGATCTCCTTATGGTCTTAAGAGGCAACATAAAAAACTGATGTTGCAACCAAGATTATAAATTCACGAAGCATCGTGCAGAATATAAAGGATCAAGACAGTGTAATTTTTGTTGTCCCATGGTTTGTACTCAGTCCCAAGAGAGGCAGATAGATGCCAGGGACAGCTATATACATTCTCTGAAAGTTGGTTAAAGCTAAAGATAAGCAAGTGATTATAGAGCAAGATTAGTACATTTTGTGGAAAATGCATCCAGGTCCTGAGACTTTGGTTGTATTTAGCTTGTTTGTGTTATTTCCCGATTGATTTCTCCTCAGGTCTCATGTTTATTTCTGGAATGTTCTACAGAAGAAGGCTTTGTCTCTCTTTCCTCCTGCTTTTCCAAGAGATGTCAGAAAACTGCATGACAAATTTACATTCATTTGAGAAACTTGCATTGCAATACTGTGCATATTTACTTGGGAGGGTCGGGGAGGTTAGTTCAGTAGAACATATAGTATATTAAATGTGGTAAAACAGCAGCCTGAAGTTTATCACATTATGTTATGTTAGAATAGCTATGTAATATAATTTCTTATTCCCTTCAAAAATTTAACTTTGCTGCGAAGCTTTTTGAACAACTTTGTTTCCTTTCTATATTATATCTCAGTGTATAACTATTGTGTAGTTACCTCCCCTTTTATTATTTCCCTTACCTTGAATTCTAGGTTGTGATCCCTTTGGGGCACGGACCTGACTTTTCATATTTTGCCAGGCATACTTCTACTGTCGTATAAATAAGACATTTCATTGCTGATCTTATAAAAACTTACTTGGTGAGTATATTCATTTGCTTTTATTTTTACACAGTGTTCTGACAAAGAATGGAACCTATAGGGCAATGTTTCTCAACCTTGGCAGCTTGAAGATGTGTGGACTTCAACTCTTAGAATTTCCCAGCCAGCCATGCTGGCTGGGGAATTCTGAGAATTGAAGTCCACATATCTTCAAATTGCCAAGGTTGAGAAACACTGCTATAAGGGATGTATAGTACTACTGATATGCCGCACTATTCAGTGAAATTCAGTCCTTGTTGTGATGGTTCACAATTCAACTGTAAATGTACTACTGTTCTAGTATGTGCTATTTGATAATTAATTCAAAATATATCCTACCTTTGTATGTTAAGCTCTTAAGACTACTAATGATAATAGCAGTTCAATAAAATAATTTCTAAAAATATAAGAAAAAGCAGATTAACTTAAAAGTTTATTCAGTAAACTGTGGATTAGGGTATATGTGTGAATAGGGACAATCCCCTTATGGGTTTGAACTGGGAATTGGTTATTACCCTGACAGGGGAAAGAATATTGCAGTTAGTGCTATGCCATCCCCGCTGATTAGGCTGGCTACACGTAATAGTTGATGGTGCTATTTAAATATTAAATGAGACTCCCTGACCCAGATCACTCTTCCTCCCATCTGTTTCTTGGGCTCAAAAAGAACCATTTTTACACTGCTGTGTGTTATAGTAAAGAGCATTTTACTGCTATGGATTAGATATATTTATTTTTCTCTTTGTTTTTTTTAAGGATGTTAACTTTCATTTAGATCTGTGGTTGCTGGAATTAGGCCTTGTGTATCCAAAACACTTAGGGTTTTTTTGGTGTAGGCCCTTTTATGCAGATTTTCTCAGTTTCAGTGCAATAAGCCACATTTATGTTGGTTGCCCCAAAATTCAGTCATTAGATGTATTGTAACAGGACTAAGAAGGCAGTTCAGGGCTCCCAAAGAAGCATTGCCTGAAATGTATCTGCGCTGGACAGCAAGGTCAACTGTAAAAGCAAAAAATTGCACTGAATTAATGGTTGGTGTAACTCAATTCCCTCCTGCTGCTTTCAGTGGGAAAAATAAATTCAGGAATCAGTGCCTCTCCTTTATTGCCACACCTAGAGTGAAATAATAAAACTCTGGGTGCCTGCCACATGCAGCCATCGAATGCCACCATCAATACATGAATTCCACACAGGCAGGGCTTAACAGGTTGCAGGGCATATAGGCTGTACCTCTTGGACCTCATGGCAGTATTCAGTAAGGTGAACACTGATATGTGTTCCATGTGACTGATGGACCTGATTGGGTTCCAGAGGGAGCTTGGGGTTGTTCCGGAAAGTCTGCTACTCGGTCCGACCAAAGCCTTGGTGGCCGCTTGGAATGGCAGAGTGGCTGCAGCTTTGTGCCTGAGCGGCCTCACCATGCCCATGGTTCCCAACACACTCCATGGAATACAGAAATGTTGAGGGAACTTAAAAGGGCTAAGAGGTGCCTAGAGTGCTGCTGGTGAAAGACGAGGAGCGAAGACAACCGAGCACAGGCTAGATCCGCTATTAGAGCCTGTCTTATGGCGGTAAGGGCAGCAAAATGTAATTATTTCTCCGCCCTTATTGTGCCCAGCGGCCCTATTTCAGATGACTTGGTCACTCCTTGGAGGGAATTATACTGAAGTTCACTTGCAGGGTTGCTGTGAGGAATATGCTGTACATTTAGCGAATAAAGTCATTCGTATTCGCTCTACATTGGACTCCGGCCTTAAGGGAAAGCCTGTGGAGTTTATGGGGGCCAAGTCTTTTACTGGGGTGAGTTTGAACCCATTGAACCTGGGGAAGTGAGCAGGGCCCTTGCAGCTGCTAGTTTGGCCGCTTGTGTGTTAGATCCATGTCCCTCCTGGCTTGTTAAAGCTGCGCAGGAGGATATCTGTGATTGGGTCTGGGCAGTGTTTAATTCCTCTTTGAGAGAGAGAGTGGTCATGCTGGCTCTTGAGGAGGTGGTGGTGCACGCCCCCCTCAAGGGGTCATCACTCGACCCAACCAACCTGGACAGTTTTCGTCCAGTTTCCAACCTACCCTTTTTAGGGAAGGTTGTGGAGAGAGTGATCTCATAGCAGCTTCAAAGGACCCTGGATGAAGCGGATTATTTAGATCCCTTTTAGTCAGGGTTCAGGCCAGGGTTTGGAACTGAGATGCCATTGATTGCACTCTTGGATGACCTCTGGCGGGAGCGGGATGGAGGTACTCTATCCATCCTTGCTCTTCTTGACCTCTCAGCGGCTTTCAATACCATCGATCATGGTATCCTTCTGAACCGGCTTTGGGAGTTGGGGGTGGGTGGCAGTGTGTTGCACTGGTTCTCCTCTTAGCTTTGGGGTCCGTTCCAGTCAGTATTGTTGTGGGGGGAGAGATTCAGCCCACAGCTCCTACTTTATGGGGTGCCTCAGGGCTCGGTTCTCTCTCCTCTCCTGTTTAACATCTACATGAGGCTGCGAGGTGAAGTGATCCATTGGTTTGAGGTGAGGTATCATCAATATGCTGATGATACCCAGCTTTATATTTCCACTCCAGGTCCTTTGAGTGATGCCGTAGATGTCCAGTCCCAGTGTCTGGAGGCTGTAGGAGTCTGGATTGGGAACAATGGGCTTCGACTCAACACAAACAAGACTGAGTGACTCTTGGTATTTGGACCTTCTGGGGACAAGACTTTTCCGTCTTTGGTTCTGGATGGTGTAGCACTGCCCTAGGGAGACCCAGTATGCAATCTTGGGGTTTTCCTGGACTCATGGCTCCTGCTTGAAGAGCAGGTGGCAGCTGTGGCTAGGAGGGCCTTTGCATACCTCCGGGTGGTGTGCCAGTTGCACCCATTCCTGGACTGGGAGGGCTTGTTCACACCATGGCCTCGTAACCTCTTGGTTGGACTACTGCAGTGTGCTCTACCTGGGGCTGCCCTTGAAGAGCATTTGGAAGCTTCAACTGGTACAGAATGCGGCTGCATGGGTAGTAAATGGTGTTGGATATGCAACACATAACACCGCTATTGCGTGAGCTATATTGGTTGCCAGTATGTTTCTGGGTCCAATTCAAGGTGCTGGTTGTTACCTTTAAAGCCCTGCATGGCTTGGGACCAAGTTACCTGAGGGACCAAGTTTCCCAATAGTTTCTACCTGTCTGATTTGGTCTGGCAAGTTGGGCATGCTGCAAGTCCCGTCAGCCAAGGAATGTCAGCTGGCAGGCACCAGGAGACGTGGTTTCTCTGCTGTAGCCCCTGCTCTTTTGAACATCCTCCATTCAGAAATTAGGATGGCCCCAACCCTGTTGGCCTTTCATAAGGCTTTAAAGACCTGGCTATGTACCCAGGTCTGGGGCCCCGAATGTATTACGGGCCCTGTCTCTTGGCTATACTGATAATTATTATGATAATTTTCTCGGCTGCCATATATATTTATTTTTGTATTGTTTTTAATTGTTTTGTTTTAGAATTGTTCGCCACCCAGAGTCACTTGGTTGAGGTGGGCGGCTATAGAAATTAAATAAATGAATAAATAAATAAAGTAACTATGGAGAAAAGGAATTTTGCCCTTTGTACAGCCTGGGAGTTCACTGCATCACAAAAGGGAGACTTTGCCAAAAAAAAAAAAATTCTGCACAATGTTTTTCTATCTGCTCTTCCCTCATACCTGTGTTTAGAATTTTACTGGTTTCCATTACCAGGATTATAGCTGCATTGATTAAAAACTCACTCCAGCATCTGGGGCTGTCTGCCTACACAGCTGTTCAGTGAAGTCAGGCACAGGAAGTGGGAAGCCAGCATCTTCAGGGTGAATTGCTTGGGCCAGCTCTCTGCTGCAACTGCTGCAACTGACTTTAATAGAGAGCATTACTGGAAATGTATTGACCCACTGCGTGAGTTTACTATATTTTCCCTATCTATCAGCAGCCAAGAACAGGTAAAAGAACAGTGTAGTTCTTCAAGTTCCCCTCATCAGTCAATGTTCTTTATTTGTGTTTTCCTTGCAGCTACTTTTCACTACCAATTTTGGGAGTGGGGCTGGGTAGAGGAATAACGATAAGGTACACTGAAAATTAAATTGTGTTAGCAGTAGCAGATGTCTTACTTAGCAGTTGTGTGCAGAGATTGGCTTTATCTGTTTTTGTTTGTCTGTTAGAGCTGAAATTTAAATGGAATGTAAGTAATGGATACCAATAGGAAAAGAAAAAATTACATGGATATTGTCTTTTTTTCCAATCAATAGTGGCTAATGAAGTAATTAAGCAGCTTGATTCATATACTACGGTAAATAATGGTTTATTTTAATTGTGATTTGTCAAAAACAGTGATTGAGTTGATACATTGTATTAAATTGTTAATAATAATACTGTAATAATTTATTGATTAGTCATTAGGCCATATTAAAATACAAAATATAAAATACAGAACAATAAAATACGTGATACAAAATAGAGTAAAAGGCATAACTAAAAGAAAATGCAAATCATATTTCTGTGTCACCCCTATGATTCACTTCAATCAGGTCCACATAGGCAATTCTCAGTTGTACTGTTTTGTCCGACAAAAAACCGTATTATATGTAAAATGGTGGAATTTATCCAACATGCTAAGCGGATGGATGGCTAGATAGGCTTAGAAACTGTAGGTTTTGATGGTAAGAAAGAGAGAATAGGAATTTCTATAAAGTAAAGAAATTCTGCATGTTCCCTGATTTTTAGACCATTATTAGTAGCCCCTTATTTATGCCAACTGGGGAAGAAAAAAATGCAGTACAAACTACACATATTGACTCAGAAATACATCTCACCATCTTCAGTAAGCTTACCGACTAATTAATGTGCTGCGAATTGTAGTTTTGGGGCCATTTTCGATGTTTCTTAAAAATCACTCATGCTAGCTCTTGGCCATCATTCACTGCCTGAAACTTAACTGCCCCTGAATAGGTAGTATACTCCAGTGCTTCTCAAACTGCCTGTGATGAAGGACCAGTTTTTTT